AGCATGGCTTGCCAAGCAGTGCGTCGGTGCGCGCCCGGGATCCGAACCAGTGAACCCTGGGCCGCCACAGCGGAGCGCATGCACTTAACCGCTTGCGCCACCAGGCCGGCCCCAGAAGCAATTTCAATGTGATGATTAAGCTATAAAATTATTTCAGTGGTAAGAAAAAAGCTAGAAAAAAGAAAAAAAAATCACTCATAGTGCCACCACCTTAAATCAACTCAACTTTGTTGAGTTCTCTTCCAGTCTTTGGAGAAAACGTATCTTAAATCAGAATTTTTCTTACTTCTCTAAATAAAAGAATTCATCTGCCATAGAGACATACTGACCTACTACCATGGATTTGTGTGGATTGTGGACTTTGAAACAGAGATAGGAGTCTGTTTCTGTGATGCATTGTATCAAGTCATGATGGTGTTATCACCGGAAAAAAATTAAATGGCATTATTTTTAAAAGGCATGCGAGATTCCCTTACAGGCAACGTAGTACTTGCCTACAGGAGAGGAATAACTTGATTCATTTAGTTTGAAAATATTTCTGAAGACCTGATAAGTGCAGGGAAATCAAAGATATGAGGGAAAAAATTAGACACCGTCTTGCCCTCAATAGCGATCAGAGGTGGCATTCATCCACCTGATTAATGACCGTAATGACTGCCCTTTGCATAGTGCTCTGCACAGGGCACTTTCACAGGTAAGCCCGTGACACAGGTTCAGATAAGGTGTGAGGAAGGTTCGGAGGAGGAAGTGCAGGGGAATCACATGGGCATTCGAAGCTGCCCAGGTGATTCAGCTTCTAGAAGGAAGTGCCTTGTCCCCAGAGAGAGGGTGTTCACCCGACCTCTCCTTTGCAGGTTGAAGCAGGCACTGGTGCTTCAGTCCTCCGAGGGTTAGAGGAGCAGGGATGAGGAATTGCTGGATGAAACCTCACCTAAACCCCACTACCTTTTCCAGCCTCAACCGGAAGAAATACAGTACTCCCAAATCATTCATTATAAATTTCCAGGTTTGCTTATAGAATTCGCTCAGCTGCCCCATGATGATTCCTTCTAGAACAAATGAAAATGTTTATTCTGAGTACATTAAGAGTAGTACATCGTAATATGCCTCAGTCTATAATATCAGGGCCTGACACAAAGGGGACCCAGACAATGCTTTATAGCAGCTCTGCTGGGCCAACCATGAAACGCAAGGCCCCCGGTGCTCTTTGGCCCAGTGTTCTGGCTTTTTCCTACTGGACACAGCTCAAGATAAATAATGTGAATTTATTATAGCAAAAGTAGAAGAAAAAGACTAGACTGAATTTTTTAAAATGAAAGGATTCCCAGGGAACTGGGAGCTTGAAGAGAGAAAAAAGTTTGATAAGATAGCACTTTTCCCTTAAGCCCACTGGCTAGCTCAGTGCTTGCACTCGGATTGGCTCAAGAAATATGTGCAGAATTGAGTCCCCTCATAGTTCGTTCAGAACTAGAGTAATTGAGAGAGTCCCACTGCAAAGAGCAGCCCGGGGCACCAATACCCTGCACTGAAACGAGGATTTGGTGTTTCACACCCAATTTCTTACTTAACCCTAAAGTTAGCCATTATGTTTTAATTATGTCTTTTAATCAGGCATCTGTGTAAGTATATATTAAATAACCTTGTTAAGCAAAAAGGAAATAATGATTATCAGTAATATTAAGTATTGTCAAATCAATTCTATATATTTAGCATCTTAGAATTATGACAAGAATTCATTTCTATCCAGTATTTTAAAAATACGTACACATGAAACATATATCTGTGTGTGTATATATAAAAAATAACAATAGAGTACTTTGAAGTGGAATCCCTTTTAGTATTTGCATATTGTAGCTAATTAACCACCCCTGTAACATCATCCTGAGGGAAAAGATCTACTGGCAACTTATTCATTATCTTCTATTATTGTGTATCACATTAAAATGACAGGCTTCTTACAATGTACAAGTCATCAAAAATTTCAGCTGTTAGAACTAAAAGCAATTTAGCTAAAACTGTTTCTACCTTCGTGATGGGTGAAATTTATCCAAAGGGGACATCAGCTTATAGGATTTCTTCAATATCTGCCTTGAATTTAATGGCACAAAGATTACGTGTAAGAGAGCAATAAATTAATTTTACTAAGTACATAAAAGACAAGGCCAGCTGCTCCTGAAATGAGCACAAACTCTGCATTCGACAATGAAAATATAATTATGTTTGTAATAAAATGTAAGGAAGTTGCAGATCTGTGTGCTGTTTCAGGAGTAAATCACCCATCCTCCTTCAGAGCTGTGCGATTTGATAAATTATCCTTGAAGGAAATGTTGTTGGAGCCCCCATTTAATAAACATGTTTGAGCTTTCAAATTAGCATGTAAATAAATGTACAGCCATAAAGTTGGTGGTATGCCAAATGATTTCCTGAGATCCATCTCACTGAATATAGAATCCTATGAAACAACTTCAGCTCCTTTCAGTTATAGTGGACTACGTTTTCAAGTATGAAGTTCTAGTAGTTGAATTTATTATTACACACCTGTTAGAACTACACACATCAAATTTTAATTAACCCATCTTTAAAAAAATTATTTAGATTCTTTTCAGTTATGATGTGCTACATTTTCAACTATGAAGTTCTAGTATTTGAATTGACTGCATACCTGTTAGAACTGCACAGATACCAAAATTGAATTGACTGTATCTTAATAATAAAAAAATTAATTAATACCCACATGTTTGTGGTGGATTTTAGTATCCCTTCCTGGTTTAGGGCTTACGCAGTGATTGTTATTAAAATGTGCTGTGGACATACTAAGCTACAGCTGCAGTACATTCAACAATTGATTCCAAGCTTGACTTGGTAGTATTGTCCCAACCACTCTCATTTCCTGATGACCACAGAAGGGGGAGGCACCTTATTATCATGTAGCTTAACTGCCTTATTTACAGATCAGGACACCAAGGGGTGGAGGCTTCACATGAGTTGCCAAGGCACTTGGTCAATGGTGGCATTGGCCCACATCTTCTGTCTTCTCCAAGGTTTCTTCCACCTCCGTGGCCCTTGTATTCACTCACCTATCCCATTTGTCTCTGTAGGATTTACATTATTATTATCTGGAGCAGTTAGACTATGTACAGCTTTTTAAGGAATTTAGAGCTCGGGCACCACTTTCAGTCAGAAGAGCTTCCTTGGATAGAAAGTTCACCAGTAAGAGAACTGGTGCAATGATGGTTGTGACATCGCTGTGTGTGCCAGGCACAGTCGTGTGTGCTCTGCGGGGGCCATCTGCTTGTCCTCTCTGCCTCCAGCTCAGGGCTGAGGCTGCCTGTGTGCTGGCTCTTTCCTTCACAACTTCTGAAACAGAAACCAAAGGAGCTCTTAGGACACTTGATGTTTGAATTTAGAGGACAGATGCCCGCACCTGGACGAAGCACGTAGGACAGTGCTGTGCTTCATGCAAGAGCTTTCCTAGATCACACATTAACTGTGGCTTTTTCATGCATAGTTGACTTTATATAAACTGATTGACACCTTTGGGGGTCGTCTTTCCACTGACTCATAATTTTTCTCACTCTGGAAAAAGGTTTCTGTACACCCAGTATTCTCTAGTTAAAGCAGAAAATTCAACTCATCATATTTACACAATAAAAAAAAAATCCATTCTGCCTTGTTTTTAATTGCAAATTCTGCTCAAGGGACTAGTTCTCCTGCTTAGGAGGCAGCCCAATACCTTCTCCTAGAGAAGCAAGTGCAGTCAATTATGGTAATGAAATGTCAATAAATATAAAAATTTAATACAGTCTGCTCCGGGTGAGTGGCAGATGAGGACTTGCCTCCCAGACAAATTTGCTGCTGCTGCAAATATTAAATGCACCTAAAAGAGTATCTGGTTGCCTGAGAGCTCTCCAGCAGAAAAAGGACGGGAGCGTCAGGTACCAACTGGGCTTTCCCATTATGCTGTAATTGCAGTAGCGAAGCCAAGCCAGTGCTGGCTCTGACAGCCATCCCAGCGTCGTAACTTATTGTTATGAATGTAACTTTTTATGCCGCCATGAATAATATAAGATTGGTGCATTGAACACCTTTTTTTTTTTTAATGAGGAAGGAAATCAGCCTTTTTTGTTTTCCAAATCAAAAAGTTATTCTTATAAATAAGATCATTGCTGTCTTTAGAGAGAAATGTATTAACAATCGTATGGAAACTGTTAGTAGTCGTCTGTCATAGCTTTTGAGGCAGCAGCAAACTAAAGTATAATCTGCATGTGATTCTTTCCTCCTCCACAAGCGTGCAATCTTGAACAATGATTACTCTAAAATGTGGCCTCTTAAAAATAGAAACATGTCTCTGCCTTCATTTTTCTCATATACTAGTTAATATCACTGTGTACACATAGAATGCTCTCCTGGATTCACTTTTATGGACAGTATATTTTTCTTTAAACTTATTCATGAGAGTTAAAAATTTTAATCTTCTGTGCTAATGTAATCTTACAGTAGGAAAAATGTGTGTATATATATATATATATATGTATATATGTATGTGTGTATTTATACCTGTAAAATTTTAGGTGGTCAAAACCTGTTCCCGGGGCCGGCCCGGTGGCGCAAGTGGTTAAGTGCGTGCGCTCCGCTGCGGCGACCTGGGGTTCGGGGGTTCGGATCCCGGCCGTGTACCAATGCACCGATTATGAAGCCATGCTATGGCTGCATCCCATATAAAATGGAGGAAGATGGGCATGGATGTTAGCCCAGGGCAAGTCTTCTTCAGAAAAAAAGAGGAGGATTGGCAGATGTTAGCTCAGGGCCGATCTTCCTCACCAAAAAAAACCTGTTCCCTACAAAACTTATCAAAATGATTAGATTTCTCAAAATAATTATACATTTTATAATAATAGAACATTTCTCAGACTATTTTCACGGGAAAAGTTCCCTCTGTTATAAATCCCTATTGCAATCTGTTTTTACCCACAATTCTTAAGAGTCTCAAGTGAAATGTATATTTCTGATTCTGGGAGTCACTAAAATTGTGATTCTGTGTTGCAGGTGGACTATTCCATAATAGCCTCACAGGCTGGGGCCACCCTCAACAATCTCATGAGTCATGCACAGGAGTTAGTGGCAAAGCTTCGTTCTCTACAGTTTGATCAACGAGAGTTTGTGTGTCTGAAATTCTTGGTGCTCTTTAGTTTAGGTAAGGAACCCTTTTCTCATACTACATACAACCAAAAGTTACTAAATGATGCCCCGCTCTGAGTGTCGTGAAGTCAACATGTGTTTTTGTTCTACCAAGATGATACCCTTCTTTTCAAATCATGAAATCTTCCAACATGAATATATTTGTCTGTCTATATTTCTGCAGACTCGTAGCCCTTTAGTGGATATGTTGGGGTGTGGAAAAGGAGTTATTAGACTGGAGTCCTGAATTTTCTTCCATAATGGACCTCATGAGTAGGCAGCACTGATAGAAAGCTGTGACAGAAGGTTTAATGGAGCTAGCTTAGGAAAGACGGATGGTATCAAATTTTAGCCATCTTTCTGCTGTTGGTCGTTTCTGTGTGCCTTTTATTTCAGCTTGCTAGCTACTGCTGTTTTTATTCTTGTAAAATGTGATTAGTAATTAAAAACCTGTTTCTTAAATCTATCAGGATTAACTAGAGAATGTTTATAACCAGATGCACCCCATGCAAGTATAAAAGATGATGGTTGTCAAGGGGAAAGGATGCTTCTTTAGGAAAGCTTTGGAGAAGAAAGATAACTAAGCAAGACAGATTAGCCGAATCAAGGTTCTCAGTGAGTCAGTTGAGAAAAATCACCATTGCTTGGAATAAAATAAGGATTAAGGAGATGGATTTTTATTGACTTCAAAGGAACAGATTTTTCTGCCTGTCCCATACTTGATTTCTGTATTTTGTTGGCTTAATAAAGCCAACTTAAATAAACTTTTTGCCAAGTCAATTTATTACTTATTGGCAGACAGCTGAGGGAGGCAACTTCCCTTGGATGAAAAAAATGCAGAAATCAGATTTACCAACATATGTTTTTTCTTTAGCCTTCAGTTGTAAGATGGTTGTGAATTCATAGCCTAAGAAATAAAACAATAAAACAAACTCCAAAGTAAAACAGATGTGTCTACTCTCCAAATTTGGTACTTTTGTTCTAAAATTCTTCTTGACAGTGCTGCACAACTGTTGCTAATAAAGGGATAGTTTGAAGTAATAGAACCAGAGTTAATTTTTCACATGTAGTCAACATTTAAAAGAAAAAGAACATTTTCATATTTTGGAAAATGTGATAAATATAGCAAAAAGAAATGTTACTGAAAATTTAAAAGGACAACAGAATTTCATAGATGTGGTGTTCAAAGGTTTCCAATGCCAAGACTGGATCCTGTGTGGTTTCTGCATTAACCACAATAAATAAGAAAGTTCTCTTCAAGTAAGTCTCCATTTTTACCCAAGAATAGTTTTCAGGAAATCCAGAGGAAGATAGCAGAGGCCGGCTTGCTGTAATCTCACCAATTATTCTGGTTTGTGGCAAGATCTTAGACTTTTCAACTAGAACATTTGATCAGTAATTAAATGAAAAATGTGGTAATATATGTGTAAGAAATCTTAGAGCATCTTAGTGATAAAATATTTAAGGAGAGTCATCTCACTTCAATGGTATTTTAAATTAGTTGAATAACTGTATTACATTTGAAGATGCAGAAATTAACCGTGAGCCATGTTTAATTTTCATCACTTTTATCTTTCCTTCATCATTTTTCAAAATTATTATGTTCTCTGCCAATACTATGGAAGAGTATATTGCGGGGGGAAGGGTGGATTCTGAAGTGCTTTCAACCTTTGAACCTCACAAATTATCTTCCTGAACAATTGGGCCAAGTATTTTCCAGAACCTCAGCCACACACTCACTTGTTTAATGAGTGCATTAACTATTTCAGGAGCCTGGGCACCAGTCAATGACTAGCTGAATATCTCTTAAAACTATGCCTGTTTGTTGTTTCAGATCAGAGGTAAATAGAGTTTTGGCCAAGAGTTTATTTTTAAAGAAGCAGGAAAAATGTAACTGACGGTAAAGTTCAGGTAGTTTCCAATTTATGAATGGAAACCTTCCCCCCCCCACCCCCATAGAAACAATGAATAATCAATCATTTGGGAGCAACTTATTGAAGTATATGGATAATTAACCTTTAGGTACCCAGGCTAGCCCCCAAACACCTGTTTTACCTGAAATGGGCATGAAATCATACCAGGGCCACCCTTGAAGGCCAGCTCAAGTCCAGAGCAGTACCTGCTGTCTCAAACCCTCATGAGCCTTGAGCCGCTTGAGTCTGAAACCCAGTATGTTCTGAACCCAGTGCAACCTTGCGCCTCTCTGATTCTGGAGAGAAATGAGGATTTGGTGGACTGATCAGAGGCCAGGGGCTGTGTGGAGAGAGGGCTGCAGCAGTATTCTCTTGGTGGGAGATGAAACAGTGTTTCCTAGATAGAGCTGGTGAGAGAAAGTAGGGTATGAATGCAAGCAGGTGCAGCATTCTAAGTCGAAAGAATGGCTGGAGCCAAAGCATGAAGGCAAGAAAGAGCAAGACGAATTCAGGGAATTATTAGTGGATCAGTATGGCTTCAGGGAGCAGCAGAGATAGTTGAGAGGTAGGCAAGAGCCTGCTCATAGAAGACCTCAGATTCATCCAGCAAAGACCTACTGAGCACTCTTGTGTGTCAGGCACTGAGATGGGCTCTGGGGATACGGTGGTAAGGAGGTGTGGGCACCATGGTCTTCATTCTGTAGGAAGATCCTGCTTAGGAAGGATAGCAGGATTCTGTGAAACAGGGTGAGGTGGGTAACTTCAGTCAATTTGCTTTTCCGATAGTGATGTGGAAAGCAGCCTGGAGGTGGGCAGGGCTAGAAACTGTGTCCAGGGGTGGTTTTCGTGCCCCATGGGGATAAACGAGATGAGGGAGACAAACAAGTTACAGGATGCACATCAAAGATGTGACAGAGTGGAGGAGGGCAAGTCTAGGAGGAGTCCCAGGTTTCTGGGTGCTTCAGCCAGAACAGAGAAATCAACAGGAGCAGCAGCTCATCAGTTGAGTCGAAGCAAGTTTCAGTAGCAACCGTTCTCCTAAATGTCATTCTTAACTAACGCTGACGCCTTATTCCATGAAAAGCTAATGACAGGACTGAAAGAAAAAGTAGAGTTGACTAAAATTCTTCCAATCTGCTGCCTGATTTTTTTTTCCTCCTCAAATTGTATCCATGAGCAGACATTAATTGGTTAAGCTGGTCGAAAAAAGAAATAAACGTAAAAAGTGCCCTCTCTCTCGAGGTATTTCTCTGCATGATATAACAGACGCTGGAGACGCGGATTCTGCTAGTCGTAATGGTTTCTTAAAATCCTGTTAAATTACCTTTTTAAAAAAATTTTTTTGCCTGACTATGAGATAACATAATTTGAGCCCATTTGTCAGAAAAGGAGATATTCAAAATATTTTTTTTATTGGTGTCATAATAGTTTATAACATTGTGAGATTCCAGTTGTATATTATTATTTGTCAGTCACCATATAAATGCGCCCCCTCACCCCTTGTGCCCACCCCCCTCAAAATAATATTTTTAATGTTTATTTATTGGTTTATACTCCCACCTTCTTCTAAAAAGGAATCAGTGACAGATGAAAGGAAATTTGCTGTCTGTCACCACCAACCAATGCAAAAATAAGTCTCGCAGAGGAAGAAGTGTGTAGGATCATGATGCTCCAATACCACCATTACGGCATGCGTTCCAAAGACAAGTAGACTCCCCACAAGCTGTATCTCCTGAAGACAAAGGCAGAACTAGGGGCAATCTCCTGGTTTTCAAGTGCAGCATCCTGAATAATGTTATTACGTGGTCAAGTTCATCAGGAATATTAATGTGGCTTAAGTGCTCAGAGCAACAAGTAACCAGAGTGTGCTAACTAAGAGGTTCCTCTGGCCTTTGGGTTTTCTTAGCCTGGACACTCAATGGCTGGATGCTGCTGGACTCTTGTATATCCCAGGTGGCAGGAGAAAGTACTAGGGGCATATTGCATCCTATTTCCCCTAATGAATGCCCTTGACTTGTAAATTATTCTCTTCTCTGGCCAGCCAATATTTCTGAAAGCACTTTTTTATATTCAGCTGAGTTAAAGAGATTGTTATTCTGTTTGAGTGGATTTCTCCAACCTAAAAAGTAGCTAGTGTTTGCCCCAAGTCTTTTTAAGTTTAGGCTCTGTAAGTCCACTGAAATGGGTAGAAGATTCTGTTCTGCTCTGCGAGCACTTCTGTGCGGTGGGATTCCGTGCTCTAGACTGAGTCTCAGGTGGGTTAGAAACTGTCCTTCATTTTCCTCTGTGTCTCAGGTTTCTAGCACATTGCTCGGTACACAGTAGGGACTTACTGTTACTGATAAAATAGACACATAAATGGACTGACTTAGTCGTAAACTCAAAGTGAAGCTTTTACCAAAGTAGTTTGTGATATGTAATGGGAGATAGTTTAGCCAAAAAGTCACATCTCAAGTGCAGGTTAGTTTTCTGAGACTAGTTTTTCCAAAGACCTTTCTAACAGATATCTCTTCAAAATTAAATCATTTCCATTATCAGTTTGCATTCTCCCAATTGATGAGAGGAGATGTTCATTTATAAGCTCTTTGCAGAAAGATTAGAGTATTAATGGCTAAAACCAGGTGATAAATGGGTGTCTGTTCCAAGGAAATGCAAGATCAAAGGCTTTCAGCCCGTGTGAACTAACAGTAGTTGACGGGTGTTGTATACCTCCTTCTTGGCATTGACAGACTCCTGTATAAAGTAAAATGGATGGAGAAAATCCTATCTTTATTCATAATGATATCTCTTTGCTTCACCCCAAATTTCCTGACTTTAAATGTGGCGTTTGATTACACACTAGGACCTCCCAGGTCCTAGTGGGAGATTCATCCACATGGAGGCAAACGCCCCAGGGAAGAGGGGTTGTGGTTGCCTTGGAGAATGACCCAACTAAGAAAGCTACTGCCCATTAGATGCCCCATCAAACTGCCGCCTAGGCCTCCTCTGTGGAGAAGCACTGAATGTGCGAAGGGCACAATTCAAGAACAAAGCTGGCTGAAGAGCTCTTACTTCATCCCTACGTTCAGTTCATGTATTCTGTAGTGTCAGGCCACAACTCCTG